GCACTCAGACTTTTGTCTTTAGATGTATGTAGACATAACACTGAAGCATTATTCATTAAACTATCCTTTATGCAAATAGGAAAGCAATTGAATCTGCAAATAGATTTATCATAATTGTTGTTGGGATCGCCTCTAATTGCTGCTGGATGGTAGATTAATATTTCTGTAGTTTCCCTGTATTCTCTGGTTTTCAGTGGTTCTCTGTCTGAAACCAGTTCACGATCAAAACTTGAAATCAGTCAAACCCCTGCAAAGCAACACTTGAAAGTTAATCTAGTTCTCGCTACTGATTAACCACAGGATGAAGTTGCCTGAAGTTCTAGTGGTAAGCCGTGAACAGCAGGATCCACCAAGTTGGGTGTGAAGACAAATACTCGTTGATGACACTGACTGGATGTGGCACCATATATCGGGAGTTGGCAGAAGTCAAAGTTGATGGGACATCGGGTTCTGTCCCACTGAATGAATAGTCAGTGAGCTGGCTTTGTAACCTGAAGGTCGATCTCTGGTGGAGCACGTACTACTAAATATTCTTCAATAGGGATGAGACAGTTGTTCTGTACTCCCTGGCTTTTAATGGTTCTCTAAGTGACGTCAATCCATGATCAATCTTGATTTCTATAATGTACTATGATTGAAGTTGGTGTGAAAACCTGTACTGCTATCGGTTCAAATCTGACAATAACTGAAACTCTAATTTAACAGCTATCCAGTGCTCCCAGGTTTTCCAGTGGTTCTCTAACTGATGTCAGTTCATGATGAAATCCTCCATCCAATCGAACAAAATCCCTACAAAACCAATACTTGAAAATTAAACTCTAATTCTTTGTTTCAAGACCGTATATTAAACTTAGTATATTGTCTACATTGTTGCATTCGTGGCATTTCTATCGATTCGAAACTAAATTCATTCTAAACTAATATCTTCTGAAAGTTACTGAAAACCGAGAAAAATAGGATCTTCAGTAGTGTAATCACACGACTCAACAAAAATAAAGTAGCGATCACAAGCTTCTTTTACGGGCAACTAGCCATTCAGTCAGTTGGTTGGAAACCGATAGCTTGTGTTTTACAACTTCTCCTTATCCAGTAATATTGCTCCACAGTTATATACTATCATCAGTCATTACATTTTGCTACTTAATGTTAAGCTTGTCGAATGGACAACAGAAATAAATTGTAATACTTGGAAATTTATATTTATCATCTAGTTGCCAATCAAGAGAAGATTGATGTTGAACTATTTATTTATGGGAGACTGATTGACAGATATTATCAAAAAAACGGCACCCTAATATGTAATGAGTCTGTCCTACTAATAGAATTAGACGGGGATAAACAACTGCGGTCTGAGAAAAGGCGTTGGCAATAAACCGAAAACATAATTTACTGTCTAAAAATCTTTCATGGCTTGACGTAAAAGAATTTCGCCTTATTACATAATATACACCCTAGATTCATTCTAAAACACACCTATTTCTAGATTACTTATCAAATACCATGAATGAAAAAAAGCATAATTATGAAGTATTCCAAAACATGGTCTAGAGCGTGTTGCTTACCTTTATAAATGGATGGAAAACAATAATTACCTCAACGTAAAGGTTGTTTTCGGTGAATTCACTTTATTTAGCTATACAATGGCATTTCATATACAGTTATTTCTATAAAAAAGGACTGTAACAAAAATGATCAGCTGTCACAATCATATTTGCTGATATAGATCAATACATAAGAAAATTTGAGGAAGGAGATGAACAGTTTAATGAATGAGTTGTATTCAAGATGGATAAAGAAACGAGGAAAATAGTGATGTTATTTAAGAGAAGGAAGGTTCTAGAAGAGTAAGAAAGAGATAAAAAAACAAACAGAAAACAAGTTGATTAAAAAACAAATAGGGTCATTCCCTTCTGAAACATACGTAATATCACAGCTTCCTCTTTTCTATGTGCATCCATATTATGACTGGTGACTCGCCACAGGACAAAGTTGCCTGAAGTTGTAGTTAGAAGTTGTGACCAGTGGAGTCCACCAGGTCAGGTGTGAGGATAAATACCCGCCGATGACATTGACTAGTGGTTGTGCTGAAATTTTGAATTGATAGATTTAAATCCAGGTTGTTGGATTTCAGTCCAAGTGGGTGAATGTTGAACCAGTCTGGTCTGGTAACCTAGAGGTCCTGTGTTCGATCCCCGGTGCAGTCATGGGTGCGTACTGCTCAAGGGTCTCAGACTAGGACGAAGCAGCTTTCTAGTACTCCTTGGTTTTCAATGGTTATCTAACTGACATCAATCCATCATCAAAACTGATACATCTCGTTACGTTACTCTAACATCATTGTTCTATTTCTTGTATATATTGATTAGTATTAGCAACTGTGGTTATGACGACTCATCATTTTTGTTAATATCTTCATTTGTGGAAATAATTGTATATAAAGTACAATTGTGGAAGTAAAAAAATGAATTCGACAAAAGGAACCTTTTCACTGAACTACTTGTTTAGTTTTTTATTAATGCCTGCACTGATCCTGAAAATTAATTTCTATGAATTAAAAAGACTGAAATTAATCAATTTGTGAATAACTTTCTTTGAATGGTTTTTACCTTTCATAGATCTAACAAACTGTTAGGCTTTAATGATAAATCTATACTTTTAGGAGACTTCATCAGCATAATCCAAATTGTGTTTTGGGTTATACTAACTAGAATGATTTACAATGTACCGATTCGGTTCTAGCGCCATAACAATTTGGTTGCCTAGTTTTAACTTTTGATTAAAATAAATAAGGCTGTCAACTTATTTAAAGCTACTGCATGGTGTAACTTCTAAATATTCCAGCTTTTTAAATTCTTATCTGGAAATCATTAAGTGTGTTCACTCGTTCGAGTTATTGTGGCTTTGAACGAAAATTATGTAACAATCCCAACAGATGAGGTTATAGGAACCTGTTTCTTAATTATTATCATCACAGTGGTCTGCTAAAATCACCTGACCACCTGGATATCCATCCAGTGTAATACAAAAATTCTTCATATCCACAGGTCTTAATTACCCAAATTATATCCATGGTTTGTATCGTGTACTCACGCACACTTTAATTATGTTTCATTCTGTCGTCTCACACTCGAAGGAAATGAAAGAAAAATAACATCGGCAACTGGATGAACATTAAAAATTGTATTTTGCATTTGAATACTGTTGTTCAAAGCAATGAATATTAAGCTGTGGGTTATTTTTATAAAGTTACCAATCATATTTTCCTTTCTAATTGGTTATTTGAAACCATTACAGTTCCCTGTCTATATTTCCCATAGCCAATTCAGTTGTATTTATAGAACAAACTCTTAATCATTATTTTTCTACCGATATTACTAAATGAGCAGCAATATGAGAAAAAATGATTCACAAAATTAAAGAGTCAAATGTAACATTATTTACTAGTTAGACAAGGAGAAATGGTTGGTGTAGCAAATTAAGTAATAGTTTATTGTTTTGTTTTTCATGTGCGTAAAACAACACACTCAACATTTTAGTCTGGGTTTATGACAGACTATTCAGTACTCCACACTTATGACGCTATAAGAAATTTAAATTAGGAATCTAATGGCCCGTGAATTCTAACTTCTTTTACTCGTGGTATAGGGTTATCACAATGCAGTGAGTAACAAACGTTATACTCAACTTAGTGAACTTTACCATTTTAGCGGCCAAAGCCGACTTGTTTTGATCTAAATACAGAGCACCCATCCCTACATCCTACTGCATAGCTGTCTGAGACTTTCTTGAGAAATGCAAAGTTGCGAAATGCTCCAAAGGCAGCAAAAAGACGATTGCTTATGATTCGAATCTATGTGTGGTTCTATTCAATAGTAACTTCGAAAACTCGAAATTACCTCAACTGGGCCGCCCACTCTAGGTACAAAACGAATACTTAGATTCAGGTGAAACATTCCCAAAAAGATGGGATCAAAAGCTGTCCACAAGAATCATGCACCAATACTTTCTGAAGACAGTCCCAGATAAGAATGGCCTTGATTCATTCGAACAAAATCACAACATACAGCACATTATCAGGGTACAAACAAGCACAAAGAGAAGCAATAAAACTACAGATTAAACAGTGACAAATAAAAATATTGAGGATCAAGTCAATATGATATGCAATATATGATATGCAAATGTCAGAACAATGATATACAGGCCATGAGAAAAACAGATAATAACTATAGAGTTAGTTGAAACACCTAAATACGTGTAAATAATGTTTGGATTGTTCACGTGGGATTTTCCCATCAATTTTTCTGTCACAACTTTTTCTCTTCAGAACTCTGGGAAATCTCGCACTAAGTTTTTCACTAATTATTAGTGTGCTATTATTTTAAGCCATGTCAGTCAATAACAAAAATAACCTTTAAACCAATCAAATCCGCACAGATAGAACATCTGAAGAGTATAACCCTATAATATTCCCACAAAGGAGATATCACAAAAGCACTGATAATGTCTGAATCGTAAAATGATCACGTAACTAATGTTATCGCTTACACCAAACATCAGCAAGAATTATTTCTCAGCAATATTTTGAAATTACTCCCAATGGTGTCCCGGTTAAGATATACAGGGAAGTGTAATTTAAACTGACTTGCTGAATTATTGATCCTAATTGCTAGGATGAATAAATTTAAATCATCCTTATCAAGTGAACACAAAGTTTCACCTAAATATGTTATATTGGATGTCATAACCAGATGGACTAAAAAATGTTCATCTTTACAGATGTGAATACCACTCTGACGACAGATGTATACAATGTGATATTTAGACCACTTCTTAACGTCTCTTTACAATTCTTTATTAGTATTTTATTTGAGAATTAGTTTACTTAATAGTTGAACTTATGCTCACTTCACTTTTGTTTCTGATGTGAGCTTACTAACGTTACGAAATATTCTAAATTCTTAATTTCATTATTATCATTATTTCTCTTCTTATAACAGGGTGAGTTGAATCACGAGTGGATTGGCAATGTTTGGTTACCAAGCCTTGGCTTAGCGAGATACAGATCAGCGTTTATGGAGTGTCTTGTTGACGCTCGTATGTTAAGTCATTTAACTAAGCGTGATTTAAGAACACACTTAAAAATGGTTGATCAATTTCATCGCCTGAGTCTTTACTATGGAATTATGTGTCTCAAACGTTTGGATTATGATCGAGCTGAACTTGAAAGACGTCGGGAAGCAAGTCAGAATAGCCTAAATGGTGAGTAACGAAATGAAATTAGTGTAAAGGTCCTTGTTTATTTTTTTGTACGTGTAAATTAAACTGGTTAGCCAGATTTCGTTTAACTTCACTATCCAATTCCATATAGGATGAATGTGTTTAAAAATTTTTTGTAGTGAAATAGGCGCGCAGGTTAATGTTCTGTTCATTCAGTATTCAAATTGAAAAGACACTAGTACACCGCATGACACCATGCGGTTAGACAAACAGTCAAACGCTTATGAAATGCACCCATAGACCAAAGCTGAACTTGAATACAAAGACGAGGTTTAGATGTTCCTTCTTCAAGAATTTGTGTGCACAGTTGGAAAATAACTACAGATAAAGCGTTTGAAACCATCCATTGATGGTTTTCTTTAATCAGTAGGTGAACATAATCCACACTAGTCTTTATGTTCCACGTTTTTATTCCTTGACAATTTTGATTCACATTTTTATGATTATGAGCTATTAATTGTGCTCGAAACTTCAACCAATTTATTTCATCTCGCCGCCTGGTCTGTATTCTATATATAATATTCATATATGTAAGTAAAGAAGGAAAGTGAAGTGAATTCCATGTAATACTGTCGAATTGTTTCCTTCTTCACAAGTCTGTAAACCACTTATTAAATATAGAACTAGGAAAAAACAGCTCTTTCTAGTGATCCCTGGTTTTCATTCATTGTCTAACTAATGTTGGTTTTCTGCAATAATTGATCTTAATATTGCCTAAATCATTAGCTACTAAGTAGGAGATAAATTTTTAGATAATTTATGAAATATGAAATATATAGAATTTATGAATACATTCAACAAAATTCAATGAGGGAAACTGTCAGTCGCCTAAGTATTCTGTATGTTTAGAAATTCGGATATAATTATCCATTTTCTTGGCTATTGAAGCCAGACACAAGACTAGCAAGATACTAAAAAAAGACAATCAGCCGTTAAGCAGTAATTCCATATACCGTGAAATATCTCAGTCAAAAATTTTAAAAACAGTGGGGACCTCAGTTTCCTTAAACTAAATGCAATCAACAATATTCACGGCATAACATCAACAGCTCACATGAATCACATTTTGATAGGAATAAAAAGGGGATGGTTTCTTAGGCTCTCAACCTTAACGCCTGTATTACTCAATTCTAGTATTTAGTAATAAATACATGATATTTTAGGCTTAGAATATGCAAGGAAAATCAAGATTTTATTTGTTTTTCCAAGAATTATTTAAACATATATATATATAAACGGTAAATTTCCAATTGTGAATTTTAGATTTACTCGTATGGAGTAATGAACGAGTTATCATATGGCTTCGAGGTATAGGTTTCGGTGAATATGCGAAAAATCTTGTCGACTCCGGTGTACACGGTGCTTTGATGGCTTTAGATCCTGATTTTGACGCAAATTCACTTGCATTGGTTTTGCAAATACCGAATTCAGATGTACAAATGAGGTACGTATTTGTGATCCACCTTTGTGATTCAGCTTTTTTTATGAATCATATTCGTGTGATACGTGATAAATACTCACAGTTTCAGAAGAAGAAGAAACTATAAGCTGATATAATTTGGTGGATTGAAATAATTTGTCATGTAAAAATGTTTATTGATGTTTTAAATTTCCATGCATGGATTGGTGCCAATGTTCTAACATCTTACTTGATTGTTAAAACCCTCAGAACCGCACTGAAGAACCTAAAGAAAGATAAACCACAGCTTTTCAAACAATTTCACCCAAACATATACTCAACTTCCTTTGAAGTTTCAGTAGCAGTGACGCTGTTTTTACGGATTCAGATTGCTAGTCTGATATCCAGCCATCTCTCTTTACCGGATTTGCTGCTGTTTAGTTATAGAGGTGCCTCGGTAGGGAATGTAACCCAGACCAAGTGCACTTTTGACAGGCATTCTATCTCTTAGCAACCGATGCAAAATGGCCATTTACCTGCTACCATAAATTGAGTCGAAATATACATTCAACTGATGTAATGCTACCCCCCCCCAAACTGATTCAGTTAACAATAAACAATCAGCAATGCTGCTCAAGCTACAAATATTACCAAGTCACTACTGTACAAAGAACGTGATTAATAAACAACCTAAAAATTATGTAAGGCTGTAAAACATCTTAAGATATGTTTCCAGAATAACATGTAAATTTTCCCAGGTTTTTATCTACCCACTACAAGTAATTTTCACACATTTATCTGATTTTCTGAACAGTATACACAAAGGTTTTTGTTCTGTTAACCTTGCTGCTGTAAATTTTATTCCTACTATGTGTAAACTTAATCCACTAGGTTTGTGACAAATTCTCCCCTATCCTTCTTCATATTTCCTTTATTATTGAAACTAATTACTCTTAACTACCCTCTGTTTATTTGAGTCGCATTTTTGTATCTCCTGGTTAGGATGGTGAATATTCGATGCAATAAGATGGATTTCTTGATGGTGTGTAAATCCACCATGCAACTATTTTCAGAACTTAATTATGTTTTCAGCGCATAAATACATACCAGTAGTTCCAATCTATGAATTCATTGAGAAAACTATAATGTACATACATATGGCAATTTCAAAAGTTAACCCTCAGTTTTCAGCCAAAGTCTAAAGATCTCCAAGTATTACGATGTCTTATTTAGAATTCACATGTTGCCTTATTTTCAAACAAGAATATGTACACTCAATCTGTCAGGAAAATACTGTATGTACGATTTCATCATGAACTGACATCAGTTAGAGAACCACTGGAAAACCTGGGAGTACTGGACAGCTGTTTCGTCCTAGTTTGGGACTCTTCATCAGTACTGGGGTTCTAGTGGGAAGCCGTGACCAGTAGGGTACAGCAGGTTGAAGATGAGGCAGTAACTCATCGGAGAAGACATTGCGAAATGGTCGCGCAATGTCGTGAATCGGCACAAGTTAGAATTCGAGGACCATTGGATCGGGTCCCAGTGGCTCAATGGTCTACGAGCTCGCTAGCCTTGTAACCAGAAGGTCCTGGGTTCGGACCGTGGTGGTGGGTGCGTACTGCCGAAGAGTCCCAAACTAGGATGAAACAGCTGTCCAGTACTCCCAGGTTTTCCAGTGGTTCTCTAACTGATGTCAGCTCATGATGAAATCCTCCATCCAGTCAAAACAAATCCCTACAAAACCAATACTTGAAAATACTGTATGTCTCTAAGCAAAGCAGTAAAAATCTTCTCAAGTATACAACACAACTTCTAGATATATAGCAACTGTAATTTGTCCAAAAATTAATTGATAATTTATGATTAATATTTCCGTTTGAGTTGAAATATGAAATAAATAGGTCACGTGAACTGAATATATCAGTGTAAAACTCGAGAATTAGCTCGTTGAAATTCAACACTGGCATCAAAGTAGCCTATATTTAATTTAAGATTATGAAATACGAGATTTTTTGTCACATTCCAATGTTCTACTTTTAAAAGTAGAATTAATCAGACAAATCGACCACAAAGTTCTAAATGATTCAGTTAACTAATGCTAAGTACTTAACACACTGCAATGAATCGTCGTAAAGTGTCTTTTTTCTTAGGACTGATAAAACTTGGTTAGCCTTGAGGTTTTTGGTGTTCTCAGAGAACACAAGTATACCAAAATCATCCACCTGAGCTACAAATCTCCTCCATTATATCTAATATTAATGTATATATGAATTCCTTCCGAACGTTCTTGTTTTCATATTTTTCGTAATAATTGTTTTAAAAATTTTGTATTTACAACATGTGAATATGTATACTAATACTTCAAGCTTGGGAACAAATGGATATGTGATGAAGGCGTCATCCATCTAACAAATTTCATCTTCTTTTTCAAATTTTTCCCCTCATGAAGAAGCAAAAAAACAATGAATAACCTTTGACTAAAATAATGTCTAGAAACTGTAAACGGTGGCTTGCTTGAATCACTTGACTACCTAAATATCCTTCTAAAATAATGCATCAACCTTTCTTCACTTCTTAGTGTTTTAATCATCGAACTATATCCTTTTGTCATAATGTCTACTCACGCACACTTTTAATCAGCTTCAATCAACCGCTGAGCAGAAATGAATGAAAAAAAGTATCTGATATGATCTTGCTTTAGGTAGAAGATTGTTTCATATGTTATACTTTTACGAAGAGTAAATATTCTGCAAATAGCTATGTTGAGAATTCTGTAGCGTGCATACATACCATCTAGAACAAAGGTATTATTAATGCTATCATTACAGAAAAGCATGCATCATCTTTTTCGTTATTTGACTCAGTAATCGATAACTAGTTGCTTTCTAACCCTGGTTTACCTATTTTCAACACTTTAGGCAAGCTACTTATATCATAATGTGTCTGAGAGAATTTCTTTAACACTTTTAACTATTTATGAAGTTGATTCATTGTATCTGAACGCTGAGATGTAATTTGTCAATGAAAAAGCTTATCATGGAGTTGTAACAGTAAAGTTTCAGTATTTTACAAGGTATCAACGACTTCAGGTACACTGAATAATTTCTCTCTATCCCACAAAGAAATCAAGTATTCCACATATAAAAAGTCCTGGTTTTTCAGAAAGCTTCATTTATATCCTTTACTTCCTAAAGTTATCAGTAAGAAGCATTTCTACCCTCTACATTAAATAATCATCACATTGCCAAAAAATTGAATAATTTTATGCACTTTTACTTATGTTTGTAGACATAAACTTGAGCGTGAACTCAACAGACTGCTTCTTCCTTATCGACCAGTCAATCAGAATACTTCAGTGGCATCGAAAAATTCCATTATGAATTATGATACAGCGGCTAGTTGGATTGCTTCTGTAGAACGACCTGAACCAGCATACTATGAAAACCAGTTTGAAACAATTGACTCTTCAGTTGGTGAATCATCCTACAGGCCAAGTGCATTAAGTGTACAACAAAATCAAAAGCTCACAACAAGTAGAAACATCACAGCAGTATCTGAAAGTATAAATGGAGCACCGCCTATTCCATCAAGATCACAAAGGAATACTGACAAACGACATCCTGTATCAACCAGCCAGGTCACCGCCAATACGCAAAATCAACCTCCTTTGAATACAAATCTTTCCCGAAGTGGAAATTACAGAGGTCCAGGTATGCCTGACGACAACTACGCTTTTCTTCACAACGAACCGTCACAGTCAGACAGAAGGTTTAAGAAAAACTGACTATTTTCCATAGAATGGTGAGTTTTATGTCCATTTTTTCATACTAAACATGAATGGATTATGATTGTATATAGAGGCTAAAAAAATTGTTACATTTCATCGACATAAGTGCACAGGACCCTAAATTTGACGATTAATTTTTGATTACTGGTCATCCTATGTTTACTATTCAATTTCAAACTTCAGGACACAATTTAATATATAACAAAAATTGTTACATGTCAGGTATCTTTATCCGAAAAATTTCATATGGCTACTGTGCATGATTAGCATGTCGACTTGTAGTACTGAATATACGAAGGTTTAAGTGAACTTGACACATTTTGAGTTTTACGCTACAATCTTTAGATCTAGTAGTCGTTTCTGTAACTGATTCCAATGAACGAAGATATAGATTATTGGCTGACTGGTTAATGTTCATTCGGCCAAGAAGGATAATGCGGATACTAAATTAATTATACAACCACAAGCTCATATGTCTGTAAATAACATAATAATTTAGAGGACGGACTACATAACAGAAACTCAGTGATGAATATGCAATGGACACTAGACAATAAGTCTTCATTACTTTCAGTAAGAATGAGCTACCTTAGAATGATAAAAAATACAACTGTCCCGTCAAAAATCATATACACACAGTCGAAGAAGCGCGGAAATATCAAGATATCCCTGTGAAATTCAAGAAATGGAAGCGATCTATGAAAACAGAAGCTATCTATCCCCTCAAAAATATACGTAAATAAAGTGCTTATACTACTCAGAATGCAGTCAATCACACTGCTAAAATTTTCACATAATGTTTTCTTTTCATAAACGAAATTCACTAGTGAGATATGTATTTTTGGCTGATAAAAGGAATTAGGAAAAATAACTAAGAGAATTGTATACGCAAAGCTTTGATCAGCTGTCAGTTTCAGGCTCCATATTATGAATCGGGCAAGTAGTCGTTATTCGACACAAATGACGAATAAATGCCTTGAGATATGATATGAATTTATTGCAAAACATTTAGGTATAATTGGAGTATGAAAAAAATAAGCAATATACCAAGCTTAAAACTTGGGCCGCTGAAAATCTCCATCAATATATTGCATATAGTTTCTCTTATTCACTTTTGTTTAAATCTAGTAATAAATGTCCTCTAATAGTGTTGTTTACTCTGGCGACTTTCTGATTCGCAAGTTTCTAGTAAACGTGTGAATATGCATTATCCTCGATGGCAGTTTATCCCAGTACATGAGATGACAATTGCCGAGTAGTGTCTTTGGTTCACAAAATATACTCCTGAACTTTTTATAATTGGCATTTAATTAAATATTCAGGTAGGTAGTTACCTGGGGTTCTAGTGAAGAGTCGTGACCAGTAGGGTGCAGCAGGTCGGGTGTGAGGAAAAATACTCGCCGAAGACATTGGCTAGCGGTTGCGATATGTCGTGAATTCGCAGAAGTTAGAATTCATGCACTGGACATTGGATTGGGTCCCAGTGGCTTAATGGTCTACGAGCTCGCCTTGTAACCAGAAGGCCCTGGGTTCGAACCCCAGTGGGTGCCTACTGTTGAAGGGTCCCAACTACGACGAAACAGCTGTCCAGTACTCCCCGGTGGTTTTCCAATGGTTCTCTAACTAATGTCAGCTCATGATGAAAGTCCTGTAACCAATCAAATCCCTACAAACCAACACTTAAATATCGAATATTTCTCGAAGGAGACAAAGAAGAGGTATCATAATGAATTGGTTTGCGCTTCAGGTCAGATAGAACTGTGTCATACCATCTACTGTCATTTAGTCTTTTATTTGAAGATCCTGGATAAAGAGAAAATATCATGCAATAAACTCCGCTAAAAAATTCTGTACATAATATAAATATTATTCAGAATAAAGCTATTACCAATATCATTACTGTTAAAATGGTCTTCAGTGTATGCTCTAACAATTAGACCGAGTGAAGTGAATTTCCGTAAATTATCAACATACTTCGGTTGTGCAGAATAATTAACACTCTATATCAAGCAGCAGTGGTGTATCTAGATGTGATAGACGAATAAATATTTCTTTAGGTTTTGAATATGTAGTTAACTGATAATGTTATTTGTGTATGGAATCTTCACGCTCACTCCTTCATTTTCCCACTTATATATCACTCATTAAAAATGTGAATTCATCACTGATTTTGTTAAAATCTGTCTAGTGCACTCAGACAGAGCTTATATTACCTGTTAAATATTATATCACGTGTCCTTAAAATCTCTGGAACTTTCTGTTTACTAATTTTTTTTCAAACCGTTGAATGTCTTTATCCACAAACCACATATTATGAATAATTTCCAACAGTTATTTCGCTTTATTTCTTCCAAATTTTGCACAGCATTAAAAATGCTCAGACAAAATCACGAGATTTCGGCATTTTGTTTATTCAAGCGTATAAAGTCTAAGAAACACATAAAAAAATTGATTACAGTTTGTTAGTTATCATTTAAGTTAGTCCTGACTAAAATAAACGGAAAAATGTCGCCTTTTCGGCAAATGTTTCAAAAATTAAATAACGTAGTGTTAGTATTTCTGTTTCCTGATGTTGCTTTTGATGATTTAAATTTAGAATTAGTGATAAAATTACACGTGGAAAATGTATCATGGTTTGTGTTTCTCACTTATACACTTGTATACTGTATTATAATTTTGTTTAAAATTTTCGGCTGATAAAAAGCGATTTTATAATTGAAACTGTTACGCAGTCATAAGTCAGTCAGGGTTTTCTGGTGTTCACTAAACTGTTGTATACAACAACACACTTTGATGCAGCTAAATAGCTTTCATGATAACATGGCGATAAAATTAAAAGGCGGCCGATGATCTACTGAAAAACATAAAAGTAGCATAAAACTATTTACTAAATTATATGTATATACGCGAGGATTTCAGTATTACGCTCTACATACTCCAGTTGCGTACACTGTTAATGATCTCCACCCCAAGTGAGCAAAATAGCCATCCGGTGTTTAGATCACTTCGATCTGGCTAGCAAGCACTATTGATTGATATGAGTCGTATACAACTACTCGTCTCAGTCAATCAATAGTGTATAGTTTTCTGCAAAGATCTAAAGTAATGAATTTGATTTCAGTGAAGAAGGATCGTGTTTTGCTATCATATATAGGCAAAGTTAGACTTTAAGCACCACTAACTACCAATCAGCAAATGGCCTCGAAGGCACCAATCACGTGAAGGAGGCATTTTTGTGTATGGAATACATATATTTATGAAAAAATTGCATAAAAACTGTATAAAAGTGTTACAGAGGATAGCTTCCTCTCACATGGGATAAAAATAGTTCTCAGTTTTAGGTTGCTGTATCAACAGAGTATAATTTCATTGTGGGTAAAATTTATTTTGATAAAGTTTCAGTGTTATACAGCAATATTTACTGAGCAATAGATTGTGCTCGAAACATGGTCATCAGTAAATATTACTACTGTATAACACTGTGAGACTTTATCAGAATAAATTTTACCCACAATGAAATTAAACTATACCACAGTGCACAAGTTCTATTCTTATGTCAACAGAGTAATTTAACCACATTCTATGCATGTTATTATTTAGGTCTTCTAACCCTAACAACAACCCTAATCTTTCCTGAACCTAATCCTAACGTGAAAATATCCCTAAACTAACTGTAATCTAACTCGAACCAAACTTACTGTCGCCTTTGTTAGATTAACCTAACCCTAACTTCTCCTTGGCTTAAAGAGTAACTTAATCTTTCGCAAACCTAAGCTGAAACTTGCCAGATATCCTATTTAATAACATAATACTTCGATGAGCATATTTTATTGATGATGACATTATTATTTGCCGGATTCCACTAACTTGCTCAGTGAGCTTTTCAAGGTCATTGGTGCGGTCGCACTCCATTGGTCGTTAGTGGTGCTTAAAGTTTAACTTGGACCATATATATTTTCTGTGATTCTAAAAGAAATAATCTTGATATGTTAATAGATCGGAGACTGGAATCATTCCACATACCTTAACTGGAATGAAACGTGTACTTTTGCTGCTGAGCTTTCTGTACAGGTGACCTTATAGGTGGTACCACTTGACAGTTAAATAATACTGAGTGGTCTTTTACAAAAACCACTGATAACTTATCGTTTGTACTATGTAGATTTTAACTGAGGAATGATAAGGGGAATTAAAAAACCAAAACCTATTCATATCAGTAAATCCAGACTATAAGTATAATAATATTAAAATTCAGCATTCATAAAGCAGAGTTTCAACACTTTTTATGACTGAAGACTTATTCTCTACTTTAATGAGACTTTAATTACACAGAAACACACACAATTCACTTGTATACTAACTTTGAAAAAGTCGTTGTACACTTTTTTGTAAGTATACTTCTCACTCTCTCTTTCCGTTTTTATTTTATACCTATTTAGAATGAATCAGACAATGCCTTTCAAAAGATGTCAAAATATCAATCAGTTCAAATGAGAAATCATGCAGAACATTTCATAAGCGTGGAACATAATTACTGTCATTGTTCATTATTTCATCCTTGTATATCATATAATCCATTCTAATGTATAGGCTAAAACAGAAAAAACAGAAGCAATTTATCTATGTTTTATCTTAAATTAAATTTCAGAGTTTTGTACGAATCAAAATACAAGCAAAAGCATTTCAAAATATAAGAAGTAAAAAACAAGCGTTGATAAGAAGATATTACTACAAAATATTCATACATACTTTATGTAATTGAAGCATAAATGAAATCGTGCTTTTGTTACATAAAGAGATATGTTAGCATTTCAGATCTAGATTAACGCTATTTATGCAAATATTTATGTATGCATGAATATTAAGAAAGACAGAGGCATGTGTTTTACTGAGACACGTTCAGAGATTACTGAAATCTACTCAGTAAACATTTATATGATTATATTCATAATAATAATAATATTTTATTTCTATGCAGCTATGTTTTAAACTTCTTGTGCACTTTATCATGCTTTTGTTCAGACGATTTTAAGCAATACGCTATGATTATAAAACTATTGTATAAGTATTTGAAATCTGTTTTATTGTCAGTATTTATTTTTAGTTCACACTACCTGATTATTGAATAACTTGACTAAGTCAAGAGAAGTATGAGAGTGAAAAAAGAAGAAGAAGACGAAACAAGTCTTCATATGTCTTTGTGCAATATATATATTTACCAGAATATGCATTTCTATTTGCTATATTATTCAATATGCAACGACAAAATTTGATTATCCTTTTCAACGGTCTTATCATTATGCAAACACTTCACTGATTTATTGTTATCCTTATTGCTAACAGTGTTATCTATTTAAGGTCATTAGTACAATATGACGACGGAGGTAAAGAATTATTTTGTAATTTCTATTGAAAAAAATATTCTATTGTTGAGAATATTTTGAGCAACACTCCCTCCTTTCTCCTTCTTTCTTATGTCTATAACCACTTGAGATTTAAAAACAGATCATTCCTATTGAATTCCAATTTTTATACTGTAATCTTAGTATATATATATGAATAATAAATGTATGAATTGTTATTTCGTTATAACTATCTATCTATCTTTGAGAGATGAGATAAAATCTATAAAAATGCATATATCTACATATATAAGTGTGGGCGGAAAAGTTATAAAGGCGTGCGATGAATAGTTATCTTCGTTATTCCACTTTATGATAAGTTTTTTTTAATGCATTCATTTGAGAATTACATACCCACTTGTATTCCATATTAATTTGCCAACTATAGGAAAGTTGAGTAGAATACGAAGAGTAATTGTGACAGAATTTGCATTTCTTTAGCTGTTTCGTAAGATTTTAAGAAATCGAATCGCTATTTTACAAAGTTCACAAGAATGTGCTGATTAGAAGAGATGATAACAGAGTTGTATGTATATGTTCAGAGTTAATACCATAGGATTAAGTTGTGACAATTTCCTTTAGGGTGTAACATTCATAAAATCATCAAATGAATATTCTACAGAAGGTAAAGGATATTATGAAAAGGTCTGGAGCTTCATTACTCTAATATTGGAAAAATAGATTAATAATATAGACTGAAGAAGAGTGAAGAACTGTCGATAGACTTGGATGAGTCAGGAGGTGAGATAAGATCTAAGAATACTTACCAATATAGAAGAAAACAGACTAACACAAATCTGTAACAGCTGAATGCTCATAAGACTGTTTTCTGTTTGAAAACTTAAATCCTAAAGGTTCTGTAATAAATTCAACAGACTGTAACCAGAGAAACGATATCCACTGATTTCTAACAAATTGCTCATTCAAAAACGGAGGTTCACTGGCAGAAATATTTTAAACAGTGGCATGCTCTTCATGAAGCACATTGTGTAGTTACGTTCTGACGCAACCAATTATTTGACTATGCATAAGAAAATAAGCCACCCTCAGTACTGTAGAATACAATACTCAACAGGCAGCGTCGTGAAAGTAAAAATCCAGTGTTTGCGTGAGCAGAAAACAACTAGGAATATATTCCAAAATTTCGGTCTGGCAAGTTCTCGCATTCTCCCAACCACTTCACACCTCCGCTAACACTGAGTTGAGGTAGATGATGAGTGATCATCGCTCGGCCAACCTAGAGACAAGAGGTGTTTTCTTTCTATCAGCGGGTATTAGATGGTTGCCGATGCCTCCAACCATCTAATACAGATAAGAGGTGTGTAACGACAGAAGGCAAGACTCAGGCAACAGATTGTTTATTATGGAAATCAACACATATTTATAGATTTTCGTGTACATTATTATAGATTATTGTTAGCTGACAAACACAGTTTTCTGATTGGTTGTTTCTCACTAAAAGTTAATCTTTCATCTCTTTGTTACTGTCTCTTGAGTGTCAGATCATCTATCTGCTAATTGTATCCGCCTACGCAAAGTCTGCTGTCCATCTTTGATCTTGTTTTCACATGACTAATATTTGAGACATAAACATTGACGTCAATTACTGTCTACCAATTTGGCTAGCAGCCATCTCTCACCACAGGTGTATATACGTTTTTCGATTTACTAACCTGTCATTGATTAAAATTTGGATTCTAGGAACATTTTACTGTTCAAAGTTGTGTTAGGTGTTTTCGGTTTCGGTTAAATCTCACTGAATTAGTTTTCTTCCCGATTGTGTGGTTTTCCATTTATGTGGGGTTACTTTTTTAGTCTGAAGCACCGAAATTCAGATGACAGAGATTGAAGCAAAACTGTTTGACTGTTTAATGGTTATTAAATCCTATCTGTCTTAGATGTATTTTGTAATAGTACAACATGAATTTAACAGATGCTGAATAACTGAGCTACTGTTTGACTTGCATTTTTGTTTTAATAGCCATACCGGACAGTTCTCTGATGTGTTAGGAAATTGTGTGCCTGAGGGGTAAACATAATTACTTCCACAGGAGTAAGTAAACTTGCAGACTTAAAATGAAGTGATCTAAAACAATAGTTTGTCATGCGTACATCTAATAAATATTTACCAACTAGAGAAATTTACGCAAAGCCGAACAGAGACAAGTGTTTTCTCAATGATCTGGACAGACAGTCTTTCAGAATCTCAGTCATAGTGTAACAACAGAAGACAAGGGCCAGGCAACAGATCGTTTATTATGGAAATCAAAGCATATTTATGTATTTTCATGTACATTATTATAGATTAGTTAAGCAAACAAACAGTCTTCTGATTGGTTGTTTCTCACTTAAAGTTAATCTTTCATCTTTTGTGACTGTTTCTTGAATGTCAATCATCTAATGTTAACTGATCCGCCTACCAAAGTCTGCTGGTGGTTTTGAATCACTTTGTTCACATTTTCTCACGACAAATCTTGAGAAGTAAACATTGACGTAATTACTGTCTACCAATTGGCTAGTAGACAGCTCTCACACAATAGTATCGTGTTTAGATTCAACATTCATGAACAATAGTGTCTTCAGAGCTGTCTGACTTCCTACGTACAGTTGCTTTATTCTGATTATTTTGTCGAATAATCTTGTAGAATATTTATTCAGTGTGAACGCTTGCCAGAGTTCTTCCACTTCATCACTGATCTTATCATTGTTGTTAATTTTTTTATTTCTGTAAGTCCCAAATGGGAAAACGAGGCTTCGAGCTAAAGCTTTGAATTTTCGGTAGCAGTGGTTTTACTTTTACGGATTGGGGTTGCTAATCTCACATCCAACCTTCCCGCCTTACCATCATTACTGCTGGCCTAGTGAGGAAAAGGGGTGCGTTGGTACATGGCGAGCGTTCTACCCCTGAACCACCATTCCGCTGTCGCTGTCGTGGTTCATTCTAAATCTTGAAGATAAGTAATGGATTAGGTTTTTCCTTCAACAGAAAAATGAACCCATTAGATCACAGGAAAACGGAAAGATGGCTGCAGCGAACGAAAGTGTTTCTCTTCAACAAAGTCGACAAAGGCTCTGCATTCATTAACATATAACAATTGTGTCGAAAAATTGTAGAACTGTTTCTAATCAAAAGTAGAAATGGACCGATTAAGAAGAAATTGTATAATACAAAAAAGGATAAAAAAATAGGAAAACAAACACCAAGTTCGGATAATAAACGTATTTTTATAAAAATGAGATGCCTATGGCATAACGCAATAATCCACTCGGTCACATCAGAGGTTTGCAGAGTTTTTCTATTTTATCTAAACGAATGCTGAAGTCACAGTGACATCTAGTCAAGGTCTTTATGATAATTAAGGAACTGTAATTCAGGTACATGGTCTTATTAAACAATGAAGTATAACATAAAATGTCACCCAGACACCTCAAATTTATGTTTATAATACTATGAGAAACTAGAAATGCATATCAGTAGAGAATCAAACATATAAATAAAACGTTTTTTGTAATTGTTAGTCATTTTAAAAGCACTAAGCAGATGACAAGGTCATTTTGCGAAACAAATAACAATAATGGGAAATTAAATTATTCTGCGTAGTCTCAGGCAAGCGTTATCTTTAATCCAGAACACAAAACTTAGAAAATATATCTCTTTCTGTGACTCCACCTCAAAGCTTTACAGTTATTTATAGGTTTATGTGTACATTGTTAATTGACAACGGAAGTCAAAGGTTATCGTCAGTTTGTAACAAAACAAAAGTGTATGAGTAGTAGCACTATGGAAGTGTTTCAGCTGTGGATTCCATTTCGGCTTATGGGAAATTGGTCTTTGTTGAGATCCATCTTTTCTTCTTGGAAGCTGGACATCTGGGAAGAATAATCTGCCTTTTAATTCAACTTCAACTTTAGCTTCTACAGTTTTGTCCCAATAGGCAGAAAAAGAAATCTCATAGCCTCCTTTATGAAGAGAATTTATCGCATTTGCACCGAAGACATATTGAACAAAGAGTTAGTATCCTTCAGGAACACTTTAATAAAGAATACATATCAAACCTCCTTTACAAATAAAAAATTAAAGAGAATGACCGGTGCTCCGCAAAACCTGGATGTGCCGAAGAAACGACTTATTGTAAATCTAAAATTCAAGGACAATACAATTAGTGAAGTTTTTCGGAGCCATCTGTCAAGAGCTATTTCAAGAACTTTAATTTGTACATCTCAACACCTTACCTTTTCACACATGCTCTTGTTCACCAAAACGTCAAAGACAAGAACCCGCTGTTGACAAATTCATTGCGCATTCACTAGTTAGCTTACCTCCGTGGTGTTAAGTACACAGCCTATACCAACATGATGTTATCTAGAAGTGAACATGAGCACTTTCCAGCAAGGTTGTTAAAAGGAGAATGCAGAACAACTTAATTCCAGAGAACAGTATTACTTCTGGTCACGCAGCATTGGCACAAACTTCACTTAGAGTATAATCATATTCATGTTGCTGAAGCTGTATTAATTCATAACGCCATAACTCATTGTGACTTGATCTTGGCTTTTGATCAATAATCTTTTAAAAGTACTTCATTTTGTATCTATTCATAATTACTTATCCAAAGATATCCACCAAATGAAAGTGAAATCACATTGTTAGTACGTTGAGTCGCATTTCTGTTATATACTTGCTGCTGTTAGAAATGTAGCTTAGCATAATATTTCTTTTCTGACTCAGTAACTTCTATTTTTAGGTTAATTGAAATATCAGTTAGAATATTACGCTGTATGCATCCATACACGATGATTATTTATACATAATGGTGATATAAGAATCATAGTGTGTTATTACCTACTCTCTACTGCATCCTTCAGT